ACTACTGCTGCAATACTCTGCTAGGGGTTAATCCCCAAACACTAACACAGTCTTTGACTTACAGCAATTCATTTAGTGGCCAAAGTTGCAATGTCATTGAAAAAGTGACATATGACCATTTTCCACACTTATGACCATTTTAGCATCCTCACTGTCCCGTAACTGAGATTTGGATGCTGGGCAACTGGTTCATATTTATGACGGTCGCAGTCTCCCCTTATCACATGGGCCCCTTTTGCAGCGTTCTGACAAGCAAAGTTCATGGAGAAGCCAGATTCACTTAACAACCAAGTTATTCATTTAATAACTGCAATGATTCAGTTAACATCTGTGGGAAGAAAATTTGTAAAATGGAGCAAAAACTCACTCAATAAATGTCTCACTTAGCAACAAAAAATGTGGGCTCAATTACGATCATAAGTCGAGGACTACCTGTATTTATTTCTCTGGGCTTTGGAGATCCTGCCCTTTTGTATGCAGACCCTGGTTCTGTCCAACTAAATCCCATGAACAATCCTGAAAATGATCTTTAAAATGTTTGGTGTCCTGGAAGAATTTCTGACCTGAAGAGCTTTCAGAATGGACACCAAAAAGGGGCCTTGGGGATTTTCCAGCTGAATCGATTTCCCAGCAGCATTTTATTCATTTTCTTTTCTTTTAACTCTTTTAACCCGCTTAGAAGCTGTGTTTTTTTCCTGTTCATTGGGCAGCCTGAGAGTCTCTTCCGTGTTTGTATTTTGACAATGGAAACTAAACGGTGACTTAATGTGATTTTCCCCCTCCTTGTTAGTAAAGTTTCATGTCTTGTGAATTGAGCCTGTCCTCCAAGGAAGGGCTGGAAAAACTCGAATGATCCTCAGTCAGGAGTTTGCATGATGAAAAGTGAAATAATTTTGTGTGTTTAATCTTTGGTTCACCAGAGGGGCTTGAAAGGTGACAGGACCCTCCCCACAGAGGATGAGTTTAGGGAGAGGACCCCAGCTGAGCCCCCCAAAAAATCATGGGTGTTTTCAGCAGGAACTCCCAATCAGGCCCAGTGGGGTTAGAGGGTGGGGGCAGGGTGGAGAGGCCCCCTGGGTTTCTATAGGGCGAGGGGAATTAGAATAGGATAACTGAGTTGGAAGGGACCTTGGAGGTCTTCTAGTCCAACCCCCTGCTTAGGCAGGAAACCCTACACTTCAGACAAATTGTTATCCAAGATCTTTTTAAAAACTTCCAGTGTTGGAGCATTCACAATTTCTGGAGGCTTCACTGATTAATTGTTCTAACGGTCAGGAAATTTCTCCTTAGTTCTAAGTTGCTGAATTCTGGGAATTGAAGTCCAAATGGCTGAGTCTGAGGAACTCTGTTTTAGGCCGTTGAGAGTCCCTGATCATGGGCAGAGTTTAGTAGCCAGGATCACAATCCCCTCCCAAGTTGGCTGAGGGGCATTTATGCCTGACAAAGTGCAGGATCAGCCCCAGAGGAGGAAAGGTTTTAGAGCGGCTTCTGCAGAAAGTGAAGGGTGAGATTCAGAGGAAATCTGGTCCAATGGAAAGCGTCCGTGGATGATGGTTTCAGGGCCCTAACTGGGTTGCTGGAATGAAGCAATCTTGGGATAATCCCAGTGAAATTCTCTGTGGAATGAGGGGGAGCCCCTCTGAGTCCTGGGTTCAAGGCCGATTCCTGCTCAGACTGCTCAACTCTGGGAGGGGAGGTTTTTTTTTCCAGCAATGGGAAGGGGGACAGGAGGAAGATCTGGGGTCTCCGTGGCTTCATTGCTGCTCCTTTCCCTTTTCCTTCCCACTTTTGGGTTTCCCCTAAGGATCCCATGGCTCTACCTTCCCCTCCCCCGTTTTATAAAATCTCCCCTAATATCTGCAGCTATAAACCATCCACTTTGGCCCTTAGATTTTTTTTCTCCTGTGAATGGAAATTTGGGGTGTCCAGGTGGGGTTTCCTGCTGCTTTTGAGCTCCTGGGGGGGGGAAATCCCCCCTTTTCCCTGTGGGGCCACTGCAGCCTCCTTGGGGCAGAGACTGAGCAGCCCAGAAGGGGGTTTGAGGGAGGCCTTGATGGAAGAGGGGAGGGCACAATTGAGGGCAGGTGAAGACCTTCCCTGCCCTCCAACCCTTCAGGCCCTCCAGAAGCTGCTTCTTTCCCTCTCAGTTGCTCCCTCATTCCACCTCCTGCCTCCTGTCCCACCATCTCCCCCTTCCTTCCCCCCTTCCTCCTCTGCCCCCCCCCCACATCTCTTCCTCTTCCTCCTTCCTCCCCAGAGCCTCAGGTGGGAGCCTCCGTGGGATCAGGGCCCTTGACTGAAGCCCCCTAATTCTCCCCCTCTGGGTCCTTTCCAGGCGCCTCCTCCCACTCCCTGAAGTATTTCTACACCAGCATCTCAGACCCCAGTCAGGGGCTGCCCCAGTTTGTCACTGTGGGGTACGTGGACGGTCAGGTCTTTGTTCAGTACGACAGCCACAGCCGCAGGATGCAGCCTCGAGTCTCCTGGATTGAGAAGTATGTGGGGAAGGAGGATCCCCAGTACTGGGACAGAGAGACCCAGATATCACATGGCCACGAGGAGACGTTCAGAAGAAACCTGGAGACTGCGAGGGTTCGCTACAATCAGAGTGAAGGTGAGTGATGGGTCTGGTGGCTCCTCCGGCCCCATATTCCCCTGCCCAGGAACCAGAGGGGGGAGAAAGGGGGGACAGCCTCCACATCATTTAAAAAGTCTTTTTTTATATGTTTATTCTTTTATTTTAATCAATATAAGATTGTCCTTGCCTCCATAGCTGACATTTTCTGCCAACTGCAGTTAATATAAACATGTTTAAAGTTCTCCATCTGTCTTTCTGAATGATGATGCGGATATTTATATAAACTGAGGTTAAAAAGAGACTGAAATCTTCCCTCCCCCCATGACAGTTGGAGGGTCCAGGCCTTGGTGGATCTCCTGCTGTGGGGGGACAAAGAGAATCACAGATCCCCCCTCCCCCCCAAAAGAGGGAGGTGGATCCTAAGGAAATCCTGGGGTAAGCAGTTCCTCCTCTTTCTGTCTGTTTCCACCCCAGAGAAATGAGGGATCGAGTGGAGATCCACCTGGGGAGACTAGATCCCTTTCATTCTCTTCCTTTTTGGAGGGAGGAGTGGGGCCCAAATGCCAGGAGCTTCTTCTCATCCTCCAGTGGGAAGGAGAGGCCAGGAGGCCCAAATGGGGTGGGGGGCTCTTGGAGGGAGGGGTGGTCACAGGGCCAGGATCCTCCCAATCAGATAGAAAAGAAAGGATCCTTCATTTGGGGCCCTTCCAGAGTCTCTCAGAGCCGTCATGGCTTCCCATCCTTGGTCCTTCAGGCTGAACTCCTGCCCTGCCCTCTTGGTGGGGCTGCCCTGGAGGGGGGAGACTCTTTCTTCAGAAGCCCCCCCCCCATTCTGCCATCTTTCAAGGAACCTTATTTGGGGGTGGGGATGCAAGGAAATCTGGGTGTAAAGATAGGCTGCTTTTGGCTGAGGTAAACCTTCTCCACAAACCTCAGCCATTTCCCCTCCTTTCATCCCAAGGAGGGGCAGCCCCCAATTCTTCCACCCTTTCCTTCCCCATCCCCTCCAGGGAGACCCCAGAGCTCATCCAATCCTGGCCCTGAGCCCCTCCGGATCCCCCCAGATCCCTCCAGGCCCCCTGCTGGCCTCCCAGGGGAGCAGAGCTGGACCCAGAGGGCTCCCCCTGGTGGAGGAAGGATGAAGGAGACTGGCCAGAGTGGGAGGGGAGCCTCCTTTCCAGGCTAAACAGCCCCCAAAGCCCCTGTTTAGCCCCATTCCTCAAAGGGAGGCTGCTTCCACCCTCCCATCGCCTGAGCCGCCTCCTCTGGACCTTCCCCAGCTCCCTCCGGTCCTTTTCTGAGGTCTTTTGACCAGAAACTGCAGACAATATTCCAAATGTGGAGGCACCCTTGATTCATGTAAAAGTTTATGAAAGTAGCCTCTGTGTTTTCAATACTATTTTAATGTTCCATGATATCCTGTTTGCCTTTTAAATTTTTTATAAAATTTGTATTAAACCTTTTAACAAAAAAAAAAAGCTAATAGAAAGTAACATAAAGTAAAGGAGATAAAAAGAAAGAAATCAAGGAAAAATTAAAAAGTACAAGAAAAGAAAACAAAGAAAATAAATACAGAAAAAAGATACAAAGAAGTGATTGGTGATATTCTCCACGGCAGTTCTAAATATAAATGTGTTTTAGCCCTTCTTAAGCAGCCTTCCTCAACCTTTTGACCCTGGACAAACCCTTGAACTATTTTTCAGGCCTCGGGGAAGCCCTGAACATCCAGCCTCAAAGATGGGCTGAAATTGTTTGATGCTTAGACTTGTAGAGATGCATTAATAGTGTTCTTACACTAAATATAAAAAAGGAAACTTGCCTTTTCAATGTGATCCCTGTGTTAGCTCTGAGATTAGCTGCCAAGAAATAAAAAGGAATGGAAGGGAGGTGGAGGAATTGGAAAGTTCAAGGTTATTCTGTATGTCACATTAAAAAATTCCAGCTGCAGTTAATTGGTTCTCGTGATTAATGACGTGTAGAAGTGGGAGGAGAGAAGGTGGATTTTGTGAAACATGCTGAAAATGACTTTCACTTTTGGAAATGCCATAGATGTACCAGAGCTGTTCCTAATAAATCAGTTGGAGATTATACTTGTCTCGGAGTGATTGATTACCATGGACAATTTCTGGATGCCTAACATTCATTTCCAAAAGTTCACTTTTCTTTTCTAAAGGGGTTTGGCTGATACCCCAGAGGTTTTTCCCCAGAGATGGATAAAAATCAAAAATCAGCCCAAAGTGAAGATGTGCAAGAGGGGACTTGCGGGGGGGGGGGGGGGCAGGGCACTAGCTGGAGCTGGCAGCCCCTGTTTGTAGGAGATGATGGATGCCTTCAGTAGGACAGTAGAGGAAAAAGATTTGGGAGCTATACCGAAGCATTTCAGCTCGAAGGAATGTTACAACCCAGATTTAACCAGATTGTCTGAAGAAAAGTCTTCCTCCAGCCCCATGCCTCCAGCTATTGAACCAGATTGGAGGGAAGAGAGACACCTCAAGGGGACATCCTCCAGGGTTATTCTGGGAGTCCATTGATGGCAGATTTACCACAACAGTTCCATACTTTAAAGGTGACAGGCTTGGTCTCCCAGCCTGCTTGGACGAGTGGAAGCCTGAGATAACCCATTTTCTCTTATCCAAGTATCTTGAGGGATGAGGAAGACTACACAGATGCCAGGTGGAGAGGCCCAGAAAGAAGCATCGACTTATAGAGGTATGTTGCAGCCTCCAAGGCAATCCCCTCATTTCCCAGAAGGAATATTACTCCCTGCATAAAGTATCCCTCCAGGGTGGGGATTTTATCCAGGACAGGGGTGGATTCAGTGCCAATGGCAGCCAGCACCAACAAAGTCCTGGTCTGAAGTGGGGTTGCTCAGACAACAGACAGCAGTCACTTCCCCTCCACCTGGGCAGGGAACCAGGCCACACCCATCTTCCTCATGGCAACCACAATTTCAACCCCAACCTGAAGCAAGGCCACAGGGACCCCTATTCCAGAGAGGCACCACCCAGCCAGGCTTCAGGGGCCCTGCCCAGCCTAGATATGCCACCCGCCCGGCTCCTTTCATTCCAGTTCAGCCTGCAGGAGCCTGGCCTGTACCACCTCCCCAACCACAGCCTAGGTTGGACCAAATACCTTTAAGACTGTATTTGATGGCCGCCATGAACATTTCAATTACTTCCTCACTCAAATCCGATCCCATATAGAACAATTTGGAGATCAATACGTCACAGAGCGCAATTTGGTTATGGCCATAACAGACAGGATGAATGAAGGGGATGCTTCAGACTGGGTGGTCCAACTACACCACGAACAAGCCCCCGAATTACACGATGTCAATGGATTTATTTGATTATTAAGGCTCAGATTTGAAAATCCAGACAGGGTGGCAGAGAATGAAGATAAGTTAATGGAAATGTAACAAGGCAAAAGACCCTTGTCAAATTTCATTTGGGACTTTAGAAGGGTCGCAAGTCACCTCATGGAATTGGCCTGAAAGAATGACTTTACACTATTTTAAAAATGCCATTGCACCAGAAGCAAAGAAGGCCTGTGACATTAGGGGAATACCGGAGACCTTACAAGCATAGTATGCCACCTCCCTCAGCTTAGACCGCAGCATCAACCCACACAGGAAACCCCTTCCGGCGGGTCCGCCTAAGAGAATTGTGGCTAGGAGACTGCTGGCCAGACCAACCGAAGCTGCTTGTACCCAACCCAATAGGGTGCTGAAATGTTACCGCTGTGGCCAAGACGGCCATAGAGCAGCAGACTGCCTGGCCCCTGCTCCTGTACCACAAGTACCACAGTCGAAGTCTAGTACGGCTGGTAGAGGTCAGAAAAATCAAGGAAGACCTCCAGACATTAGCTGGTTTTCTAGACAGAGCTGGGAAAGTCCCATCTGCGCAGATGGGAGCAACAGACAGCCAGACCGACACCACGTCCCCGAGAACCCAACCAGTAAAGACAACCCAATGGTGAGTGATCCCATCATACCTTTTACAGTCAAGGTCAAGTTAGTGGTACCGAACACGGGGGAGGATGGGGAGGTAGAAGCCATCATTGATACTGGGTGCTCTAGATGCCTTATCGGACTCCCTATTGTTGAACAGTTGGGCATAAAGACTAACCCACTAAAACTCCCAATCAGATTTCAGCAAGTGGATGGGACATTAATTGGGGTGACCCCAGCCACCCAAATGACAGAATTGATCAAGATGGAATTAGGGCCCCATCGCGAACTAATACGCTTCATAGTGGCCCCCAGGATGTCGGAATCAATCATATTGGGACTTGCTTGGCTAGACAAATGGGCCCCTACGATCAAATGGGAGGATGGATTCAGGAAAATCCTCACTGGACCAGGCCCATTGCCCTCTCTTCCTCCCACTACAAAACCACCAGTCAACTTGAACCCAAAACCTGAGCCAACATCCATAGCATCCCACCTTCTACCAGATAACCCCCAGATACCCGACCAATACAAAGACTTGGCTGAAGCATTCTGTGAAGAAGAGTGTAATGTTTTACCTCCCCATCGAGCCACTGATTGCGCCATAGAATTAGAACCCAGGGCGAAACTATCAAAACCAAAGGTATATTCTATGACACCTGCTGAAATGACTGAATTAAGGAAATACATCAACCAAAATTTGGACCAAAGTTTTATTGAACCTGCCAAATCAAGATTAGCTGCCCCAGTGTTGTTCAAAGAAAAGAGGGATGGCGGGTTGAGATTATGTGTCGATTTTAGGGGCATGAACGCCATGTGCATCAAAAACATGTACCCTCTCCCCCTCATGAAGGACTTATTGAACCACCTGTTGACAGGCAAGGTATTCACCAAGCTAGATCTCAGAGAAGCTTGCTACCAGGTCCGCATCAAAGAGGGACATGATTGGAAAACAGCTTTTAACTGCCCTTTGAATAGTTTCCAATTCAGAGTCATGCCTTTCGGACTTCAGGGGGCTCCCGCAGTGTTTATGCACCTCATCAATGAGGTGCTACACCCGCACCTTTATCAGGGGGTCCTTGTATACCTGAGTGATATCCTTATCTTCAGCGAAACCATGGAAGAACATGTTCAGTTGGTCCGACAAGTCCTAGAAAAACTAGCCACCAAATTATATGTGAAACTCTCAAAGTGCGAATTCCACAAGAAGACGCTGGATTATTTAGGCTACTGAATATCAAACATGGGAATTGAAATGGACCCTGGAAAGGTAAAAGCAGTGCTGGACTGGCAACCCCCCAGAACCCGAAAACAATTTCAAAGTTTTTTAGGTTTTGCCAACTTCTATAGACAATTCATTCCGTCCTTTGCTGAAGTTGCCCTCCTGTTAATGGAGTTATTAAAAACGGGCCTGTCACCCACCAAACCAAAGCCAAATCAACCCCTGGCTTGGACATGGACTGTCAGAAAGCTTTTGAGACCTTAAAACGTCTCTTCGCAGCTGAGCCCATCCTCCAACACCCAGATGCAACCAAGCCTTTTATTGTCCAAACTGATGCGAGTGATGTAGCGGTGGCAGCCATTCTGCTGCAAAAAGACTCTCAAAACTGGCTGATGCCTTGCGCTTATGTGTCCAAAAAACTGATGGACACAGAACGAAGATGGGTAGTCTGGGAGAAAGAAGCATTCTCCGTACGATGGGCTTTATAAACTTGAAGGCATTTTGTAGAAGGGGTGCAGGAGCCCTTTGAGGTATGGACTGATCATAAGAACCTCGAGGCTCTAAAGACCCCTAGGAGAGTATCTCCCAAACAAGTCCGATGGGCCCAATACTTCAAGCGGTTCAAGTTCAACATTAAATATATCCCCGGAGGGAAATAGGTATTGGTGGACGCCCTGTCCAGAAAGCCTCAGTTTGACAGCCACTGAGAGGAAATAGTAAATTATCAACAAGAAAATTGGGCTGAGTTATTACCTTTTGCAGAGGTTGCTTACAATAATGCAGTACATAGCAGCACGGGATTGACTCCATTCCAAATCAACACTGGAATGGACTTTGTCCCGATGCCAGAGTTACCTAGACAACCTCCCACATCCATGTCTCTAACAGAATGGATGAACTCATTAAAGAAAGGGTGGGAAGATACAAAAAAAGCTTTGACCGAAGCTGCAAAAAATTATAAAAAACAGGCAGATAAACATAGATCCCTTCAACCACCCTTTAAAGCGGGAGACAAAGTATATTTGTCAATCAAGTATCTTAGATTGAAACTGCCCAGTAAGAAACTGAGGCTAAATTCTTGGGTCCGTTCCCAATTTCAAAGAATCAATCTGGTCACTGTCCAATTAAGTCTCCTTCGACTGTTAGGGAAGATTCATCCAGTGTTCTATTGTAGTTTACTAAAACCAGCTACTACATCAATGATAAGACCAGTGCCAATTGCTCCCCTTGACCCATTAACGTTACGGGGGAAACACATTATGAAATTAAGAAAATTCTCGATTCTAGATTACACCGTGGACGACTGCAATATTTGGTTTTATGGAAGGAATACCCTCTCTCAGATGCTAGTTTGGCAAAGAGTTGGGATGTTCATGCTGATCAATTGGTTAACCAATTCCATGAGGATTTCCCCCACAAACCGAAGGGTCCTCGTGGATGAGGAAGAGGGGGTTAAGGACAATGTATTAACGCCTGTATCTGTTTTGGTTGTTTTTCTTTTAGGAGGAGAAGTTTTCAAGGGGGGACGCCTGTCAGCTCTGAGATTCAACTGCCAAGAAAAAAAAAGGAATGGAAGGGGGGGTGGAGGAGTTGGAAAGTTCAAGGTTATTCCGTATGTCGCATTAAAAAATTCCAGCTGCAGTTAATTGGTTCTCGTGATTAATGAAGTGTAGAAGTGGGAGGAGAGAAGGTGGATTTTGTGAAATGCGCTGAAAATGACTTTCACTTTTGGAAATGCCATAGAAGTACCAGAGCTGTTCCTAATAAATCAGTTGGAGATTATACTTGTCTCGGAGTGATTGATTACCATGGACAATTTCTGGATGCCTAACACCCAGTCCTTTCTTTTTGCTGCACAAATATTCAAATCTGTGCCAAATTTGAGATAAGAAAATACAGATTTTATCTTCAACTGAAAAAAAAAAAATTCTGTCTTTGCTTTTGATGCTTCTGAAATAAGACCGAACTTGTTCTTAGATGTTGAAACCAGCAGCCAAATATTTAGTGCCTTCTTGTGAATGGCAGGAGATTCTTATTGGACAGAAAAAAAAAAGAACTAGTCTTCCCATGGAAAGATCAGGGAATCTCCTCTCAAGGGCAGGATCAGACTGCACCTCACGAGGATCTTCCTCTTCCTCCAAAGGGAAGTTCTCAGGCTGAGCAGCAGATGCAGAGAAAGGATCCCTTCCTGGGTGTGGAAAGGGAGGGAAAGAACTGGTCAGTTTAATTCAACTGTACTTACAGGTAGTTTCCCCTTAGATTTGAGAGTTTCTGGCATCCTTTCTCTCTCTCAAGGCCAAACAGAAGTAGAAACATTTCAGGATTTCCTTTTGGTTTTTTTCAAGCATATGGTTTTCTTTTAAATCCAAGAATCTGGTCACTTGAAGTTGAAATATCTTCTCCAGGGCCTTGCAGAGCCTGTAAACTTCAAACTTATTTTGAAGGTCAATAACCCTTTGGGTGTCCAGATCAGACTGGGCCACTTGCTGCTGTGGCTAAGGAAAATATTCCTTTGTGGCCCTTCAAGGCTTCATTCCCACATTGCTCTAAACCCTGGTTTGTTGCCAGTTAGGCCAAAGTGGGAACCAGCCCTTGTGACTTGGTTTCATTTGTGGATATAGACCAAGATTTATGGTCACAGGGATCCCTGCAAGCTTTTGTGTAGATTGACCAGATCCTCTTTGAGGCCATGAGATTCTCAGTCCCTCTTAGCAGCCGCAGATTCAGGCAACTTTTTTCTCTCTCTGGGATCCCTTCCTTTCCCCCCAAGAGTCTCCCCTGCAGAGGAACAGCAGAAGGAAAGATGGAAATGTCTCTGTCCCTCCGTTTATTCTGTGACTCCCCCTTTTCTGGGTCTCCCTTGGGATCCTCTGCTGTCTTTTCCAGCTTCTCCTTTTTCTTGGGGAGGTTCAGGGGATCCATCCTGGGGGGGAAATGCAGGGAGGCAGGTTGAGGGAGGGGAGAAGGGCGGATAGTGATGGGGGCTTTCTTTCCCTTGAACTCTAGGGAGGAAATGGGGGTGTCAGTGCCTGTGTCAAGGTCCCTGCAGAGAGGGAGGGTCTCTGCCTATCTCCAGGACTCCCCAAACCATCATCTTGTCCCTATTTCAGGCCTTCACACATTGCAGTGGATGTATGACTGTGAGCTCCAGAGAGACGGGAGCAGAGAAGGGTTTATGCAGTATGGCTATGAAGGGAGGACCTTCCTCACCTTCGACAAGGAGACCCTCACTTGGGTGGCTCCCGTCCCCCAGGCCCAGATCACCCAGAGGAAATGGGATGCTATTCCAGGATTGAATCAGAGAAACAAAGCCTACCTGGAGGAAACCTGCATTGAGTGGCTGCAGAAGTACCTGTCCTATGGGAATGAGACGCTGCTGAGGACAGGTGAGCATCTGACTCCAGGCTGGACTTTCCTCCTTTATGGCCAGATTTCTCTGACACATTCAGCCCCTTTGGGTCCCTTGTCTGGAGCCTGTTTGCCCTGGTGGGAATCCTCCTCCTCCCCTTCCAGCCCCTCTTGCAGGACACGGGAAGCCCTGTTTGGTTCCCATTGCCAGGAAGCGATTCATTGGACCAGGAAATGCAGCCCCTCCCTGGCAGGAAAAGCCCTTCAGGGTGTCCTGTTCACTGCCCACAATGAGGCAACCATTTGGGGCTATTCAGTGAAACCCCCATTAGCCAAACTGTAGTCAAGAGTGATGGGCTCCCTTAATTTCCCCCCATGAACTCTCCTTCCCCCCACATCCCACAGGGGGCTCCCTCCCCGTCTTGCACCTGATTGGGGCACCTCCCATGCCCACCACTGTGGGGGCTCCTCTTCTGCCCTTCATAAGACACCATCAGAGCCCCCACTTGGGCAAAGAAGCCCATGGATGAGGGGTTCTCTTTCCAGGGAGGGGGGATCCCCCATAGTTTGTGTAGATCTTTCTCTTAAACCTCAAACAGGTTCCCTCAATTCTGACTTAGTGACTCTTTCCTCAAAACGGCCCCCTCCCCACCTTCAGGAACACCCCCTCACCCCACAGGGGGGCCCACATTATGACCTTTTCCTGTCATTTGTTATTAATTCACCATCTAGACCACCCCTCCCCCTCTTGGCTCTTTGATCCCTCCAGGATCAGCTGGTTGAGATTAGGATCAAGGGGGGAATCCACCCCCCCCCTCAGATTGCCAACAGCCCCTCCCTGCCAGGGAGGACCTTCTCTCTCTTCCATTGGCATCACCTCCCTCTGCCCTCCCCCCCCCTTTTGAGAGACAAAATCTGTTTTCCAAATAGATCAGTGAGAAACTCCAAAATCCCTGAGCCCCTTTTTGCTCTGATTCTGGCTCTCTTGCTCATAACATTGTGGTTGTGTCCCTTGGAAAGAGGCCTGGAGCAGCCTCAGGTTCTGGGGAGAAGAAGAGGAACCAAGAAGTAGGGAGCAACTTTTGTGTTGTTGTGGTTGTCTTGAAAGGGAACTTAAAAGACCATCTCCACTCTCCCTCCCCTGAAGGGAGCAGCCCAAGATCAGTCAGAGTTCAAAGCAGTCAGAGAGGAATTTCCTTGGACCCTCAATTTGGGAAAATCAAGAGTTCTTGTGGTTGAGCATTTTCCAGATTTGGAGCATTTCCTGAAACTCTTGGAGATGCTACAGGTGTGAAGTATAAATCCTGGGGTTAAAATTAAGTGCTGGGAGATTTTCCTGCCCCTCCATGTTTCTCAGCCCCCCTTCCAAGCTCTGGAGGGGCTGAGAGTTAATTCTGGGGGTGCCGTTTCTACAGAGCCCCCAGGGGTGACGCTGGTGAGAGGCAAGACAGAGGTGGAGGATGGGATGGAGACGCACGTCTGCCGCCTGGATGGCTTCTACCCCAGGGAGATCGATGCCTTCTGGACGAGGGATGGGGTGGTCTGGCAGGAGGACACCCTCCATACGTCTGTGGCCCCCAACGCAGATGGGACCTACCACTACTGGCTCAGCATCTGGATCGACCCCAAAGAGAGGGGCCGCTATCGGTGCCACGTGGAGCACGACAGCCTGCCGGAGCCTCTGGACCTGGCCCTGGAAGGTGAGAGGCTGCAGGGAGGAGAAGGCTGGGCTGTTTGGCAGGCTGGGAGGTGGTGGGAGAGGAATCTGGTCCCAGATGTGTCCAGATGTGAGCATACCTGAGATTTCATCCAGTGTTTTTCCAGTGTTTGAGGTTGGTGCAGCTGGAGGGACCAGAGCATAGAACTGACTTCAGGGGATGGAAACTACAGATTCTCCCTCGAGCCACTCGGAGCATCCAGAGAGTGGGAGGTGCTTCAGAGTCCTCTCTCACAGGCTGAGCTTTAATTGAGGAACGCTCCACCTCCTCCACGTGACTTCGTGCAGCGTTTCCCAGCTTTTGCTCAGCCTCGGAGAGACAGGCTGTTCGTAGTCAGGCTCCTTGGCCGTTTCAGAACTCTTTCTATTCGATCGCTCAAAAGTGTCAGCAACAGGTTTGATTTTCTTCCTTAGCCCCTGCGCAAGTGTTTGGGATCTAGAGGAGCATTTCTCTTGCCCCTAGGGGCATTAAAGCGGGCGGGCTTGCAGCGCCTTCGCGCTACCCCCCCCCCCGACATCCTCGATCCAAATTGCCTCTCTGCCTCCTTCCACGCCGCCCGGGCGGCTCGTTATCTTGTGCCTACGAGCGCTGTTGGTTTTCCCCCCACCCAAACGCCGATCGTGCAGGAGAAGCAAAATCTCTCCTGTGCGGCCCCTCTCGGTGCGCTGAGCTAGCCGGAGGAGCTTATTTCCGCCTCGAGAGGCCCCGACGCTTGCTCAGCTTGCGGCCGCCATTTTGGGCGCCGCCTCGTGGTCAGGCACCATCTTGTCTTGCTGAAATACAGAAGCTGCGGTCGACCTAGCCTCATCTAGACCCTCTGGGTCATGAACACAGCCTGTAATTCAGACGCTGCCATACCTGCTCTGGTTTAGCTCTCTGTTGGCCTTCCCGCAGCCTTCTCGGGGCAAAGTTAGCAGTACTCCCCCCCTCCAGTTGTTGCCTGGAGGACAACTGCAAGAGGCCTAGCTACCCCTGGCCTCAGGCATTCATTTGGTTAATTTGGACATTCTTGAATCCTGTTCAGCTTTCGTTTCTCTTTGGCTTCAGTTCAAATTATTTAGTTATGTTAAAATAATAATAATAATAATAATAATAATAATAATAATAATAATAATAATAATAATAATAATAATATTTAAAAGTATAAAAAATATCGAATAAAGACATATATAAAAATATATATATTATATATATATATATATATATATATTATATACTTTATTACTCATTTCAGTAAATATCTCTATAATTGCTATTACATCACGTATTAAATTCCAAAAGGGGGCGTGGGCCAGCTTCAAGAACACCCGGCCTTTGTTGTAGGCCGAATCCTAGGCGAGCCAACCGCCTCTAGCGAATTACTACGTTTATTACTTCTTAAAATGGCAGATGACAATTCTTCCAAACGTCCTTCTCTGAAGGCTAAGTCGAAGTCTCACCATTTGCGCAGGCAGGCTAAGGAACCGTCCAAAGCCTCCCAGAGGGATGCCTTAAGGCGCCATAAGGCGTTGGAGAAGGAATTCGATAGGCGTTCCAGGGAGTCACGTTCGGTGCCTCCAGCCCTCCCACCTTCCACTCCCTCCACCTCTAATCAACCCCCCCTCCTCCAGACCTCTCTTCCCGATCCAGGTGCAGTTCTCCCCAGGGTCATCAGGCCCTGGGATCAACGACCAGACGGACACCACACTCCTACGGCCGCTGGTCTGCGCCAAGAGGAACCTTCTGCAGTAGAGGTTCCAGCACACATGAGAGCATAGATGGAACTGGCTATCCGCCAGGGAATTGCGGAGGGTCTCCAACAAATGGCCAGACCCCGCTTCTCCCCGAGGACCCCCGAACACGAGTCTCTCTCCGTCAGATCCCTTCCAAGATCGGACCCTCCGATCGGTCAGGTATTCTCACAGAGGGATAGCCCTCTTCCAGAAAGGGAGAAGGAGGAGGACGAAGGGGACTTTGGTCATTTCGGAAAGGAGGAAGAGGATTACGAAATGGGATCAGCCCATTACAGTGAGCACCTTTCAGAAGCGGAGCCGATGGAGGGGGAAATGTCTGAGGATGAGGGTCTTACCCCCGACCAACCCACATTTGTGGGCCTGTTTAAGCCCCACCTGTACAAATCCCTCTCTTTAAGGTGAAAAACATCTCAGGCCTTTTCACCCAGTCCCCCTCTGCCCCCCCTCCTCATCGGAAGGCCCAGAGGATTCCATCTTTAAGCAGCCAGTGGTAGAGGCTGAGGTCATCCCGGCCCCGCCTATTTTTTCTGACCTGGTGGCTAAGCAGCTGGCTTCCACAGGGGCACCCCCCGCCCCATCCAGCCAGGATAAGAGGTCCTTCAACCTCGACTCTGACTTTACTAGCCTTCTAGATATTCCTGAGGTTGATGAGCCCATTGTTGGTCTAGCATCCTCCTCCACCCCCAGTGAAGCTTTGCAAGCTCTGAAACCAGAGGACAAGCGGGCGGAACTGGCGTTGCGCTGGGCCCACCAATCCGACGCTTGGGCCATTAGATCGGCCACGGCCGCCTCCTTTTTCACCAGGTCCTCCATCCGGTGGCTTCGGCAATTAAGACAACACGTCCCTACCTCTAACGTGAGGGCACACCAGGATATAGCTAAGCTGGTGGCTGCAGCAGAATTCTCAGCCAACACCACCTACCAGTCGGTGAAGTTCTCCACTAGAGCCATAACTTCACACGTCACAGCCCGTCGCCTGCTCTGGCTCAAACACTGGCAGGCGGACGTTAAAAATAAAGTCAAATTGGCCACCGCTCCCATCAAGGGAGACAAGTTATTTGGCCCAGCTCTGGAACCCCTGCTAGTCGAGGGTCGCAACAAGAAAAAATTTCTCCCCTCTCTTTTTCGGAGATCCGAGCCAAGAGTCCCTCAGCCCTTTTGGAGAGGTTCCTTCCGACCCTTCTATCAGCCACCCTTCCCGCCTAGGTACCCGAGACCCCCCTCCTTCCGACCATCCCAACCCCAGGATTGAGCCGACTCGGGCGACAGGAGTAGAAGGGGCGGCAGCTATAAGAGACCCTTTAGGGGATCAGGGGGAAGACCCTTCCGTCGTCCCAGATAGACCCCGTTCCTCGCTCCCCATTGGTGGCCGCCTCAGACATTTCGCTGACCAATGGGATGCCTCTACCTCCGATGCCTGGGTCAGAGACACCATCAGGTTTGGTCTCGCCCTGGAGTTTTGGTCTGCCCCCTCTGACTTTTTCATGACATCCCCCACTCAAGGGACCCCACCAAACGTGAATTGATGGATTCCGCTATCCGACATCTCCTCGACATTCAGGCCATCCAACCCATTCCACCCACTCAACGAGGACGGGGATTTTATTCTCACCTCTTCGTGGTTCCCAAGCACTCCGGGGGATGGAGAGTTATCTTAGACTTAAAATGACTTAATCGCCACTTGATCCATCGCAAGTTTAAAATGCACACCTTACAGTCTATCCTCCTGGGTACCAGGCAGGGGACGGGCTTTCCTCTATAGACCTTTCGGAAGCATACCTACATATCCCAATCCGGCCCTCCCACCACAAATTCCTCAGGTTTTGTTACAACAACCTCCGCTTTCAATATGTGGCCCTCCCCTTTGGTCTGGCATCGGCCCCAAGAACCTTTACCAAGGTTCTCGCGGCACTAGCGGCTCACCTCAGAAACCTTCCGGTATGCCTCCACTGCTACCTGGATGACATGCTCATCCTATATCCCTCCAGACACCAGGCAGAGAGGGACACCAGAGCTACTCTCTCTGCCCTCCAGGCCCACAGGTTCCTCATCAACTGGCAAAAGAGCCAACTGGCTCCATCCACCCAAATTACTCACTTGGAGGCTGTAATTGATTCGGTCTCAGAAAAGGTCTTTCTCTCTTCAGAGAGGTTCCTCAGTATCCAGAAATTGGTTAAACAGATTAGGCATTCAAACAGGGTAACTCTATTAGACCTCTCCAAATTACTAGGTAAAATGGTCTCATGCATTTCCATTGTTCCCTGGGCCTGTTTGCACAGCAGATCCCTACAGTGGTTCCTGCTCCCATTTCAAAGATCCGGCAGAAGCAATTCGAAATCCAAGGTCAAGGTACCTCCAAAGGTCCTCACGTCCCTCCTCTGGTGGACCAACCCCGCCATCAACAAAGGTCATCACTTCAAGGAGCCCCAGAGGCTCACCCTCACTACAGACGCCAGCCTATCTGTATGGGGTGCTCACGCCAACTCACTCACGGCACAGGGCAGATGGTCGAAGATAGAACAAAGATGCAGCATCAACTGGCTAGAACTTCACGCCATCCACCTGGCCCTGCGCAGCTTCCTCCCTCAGGTACGCGGACGTCATGTCCTTATTCTCATGGACAACGTCACGGCCAAAGCACACATCAACAGGCAAGGGGGCACCCAGTCCATTCAGTTGATGAGGGAGGCTGAACGTCTCTGCCGTTGGGCAGAGTCCAATCTCCTCTCCATAAAAGCAGAACATATCTCCGAAGTTTCCAACATCCAGGCGGACTGGCTGAGCACAGCCACGGTGGACCCATCAGAATGGCGCCTCCACCCATCCCTGTTCAAGGAGGCGTCCAGAATCTTTGGCCTACCGGTGGTGGACCTTTTTGCATCCCCGACCAACATGCAACTTCCAAGATTCTTCTCGAGATACCCGTCACACGGGTTGGAGAGCCACAATGCGCTACACTGCCCCTGGCCTCCATGGCTCCTTTACGCTTTCCCCCCACTAGCCCTAGTTCCCAGAGTGATACAGAAACTGATCCACGAGAAAGCAGATCTGCTCCTGGTGGCCCCTTACTGGCCCAGGCGCCCGTGGTTTGCGGACCTCCGCAACCTATCCATAGCGCCCCCCTGGAGAATCCCCCCGGACAGGATCTCCCTCTCTCAGGGGCCCCTCCTACATTCGGACCCCCAATGGCTCCAGTTAGCCGTCTGGAGGTTGAACGGAACCGCCTGAGGAGAGAGAAATTCTCCAGTC